CTCACCAATCAATATTCAGTTTGCATATCAAAAAATTTGATTTAAAATCGCAATGAAACCATAAAAAAATCACTTCTTGGTGTCTGCCCGTTGTAAACGATCTGTGAGGGAGAGCATTTTAACGGGGACCACAAATAAATTTTCATCGAATTGAGACCTGCGCTCATGCTATCACCGCCCAACGCGTGCTATAAAACGTGTGCCATTTTACTTCAACACACGAAACGATTCATTCTTAATTGTTTTATTTACCTATCTTTGTCTGTATGGAAAACACATTTTAACACACATTGCATGACGTCTTGATTCAGACAAATGAAAAAGACAAAGAACACATCTTAATTATGCTTGCATCAATATTCAATTTTCAAAAATTCCTGGAAAGTGTTTAATTGCAGATGAAGACGCTTTTTTTTAAAATTTAAATCATTTATTTATTATGATCGCCATATTGGCGTTCATAAATCACACACGCTAGAGATTTCAATTGATTGTCGTTTGAAATTGAAAAGCGTTCTCTTTGCGTTTGTCGAAGCATTCATTTCCATTTATGATTCATGATGAAATATTCTATTGATGACTTTAGATCATTTCTAATTATACATTGATTCCCACACAAATTAAACAACAATAAATAATCCGTTAACTGTGAATATTAATCAAATCATTTGAAAAACATATCAATAGCTTTCTCTGAATGAATTAATAATCATATACGTACATGTCGTTTATTAATTCTGCTCGAAAGAGACTCATCATTTTTTTTCGCTCGCTCTTTCTTTCTCTTTCGCTCATTTCGTAATCACCTACATTTATTTGTTCACAGATTTGAAATCGAATAGTGCGCTTCAGCATTTTTCACTGATCATACTAAATCATTATTATTAACAATAATAGCATTATAGTAGTATTTGGACAATATTGTCATAAACGCCTTAACATCACACTTTCTCATTATGAACAACATTATAGTGTCAAATGATCATAAGGAAGTGAAAACAATCGTACACCTCCCGTATGTGTTAAGTGAAAAAAATCGTTTTCATCGCTAATAACTCTTTTATTTGAGCTCATTCGTTAACATTTCTCACATCTGTATATGAAGCCATTTCACAGAGCATTAACAAAATAAGACTTTTAAAAAAAAGCTGTCGGATTCAAGTTAGACAGAGGCCGAACGCATTGTTCAACAAAATGAAAATACTACAACCGAACAGCTCATGATATATGATTGGTAAGCATTAACAACAAAACAAAAAAAAATATAACCAAGAAAGTGGCATTGCAAAGCTGAATCTACTTAAATAGGATATATTTATAATTCATTGCTTAAATCTTTACAGAATTGAGCATCGTCAATGCTTCATAATTGTTCGACCACCAAACAAATTCATTGAGTGAACAACGAAATCGGTTTGTATGCCATCCCACGTACGTTTTTGGAGAAGATGAAAACAAAAATATGCTGAAAAGAATGAGAGTCAAAGACTTTTTTTGGACGATCCATTGCCGCCAACAATATGAAATTGAAAATTAATTTCCAATAAATTTTTCTTTGGTTTCGTTTGTTTTCGGACATAATGCGATAAAAAATGCAATGAAAAAGAAATTAAATATCCAATTTATTATGATTTATTAGTTTTTATTATTATGGTTTCATTACTTAGGATTTACTTGGTTTTTTTCTCGTCTTTAAAGCGAGACTTTCCAATTAAATTCGCCAGTTTACCACAAATACTGATTTACAATTTGCATTCAGAGATGTGGAACATTTGCGCATGAGTCAAATGTATGGAATGGTACTTGCTACTTTGTCATTGACAAAAAAAACTGTATATTATTTGCTAAATTATTTATCAAAATTTGCGATCCGATGGTGTGATTAATATTTTGATTGAAAATCTTTACATTGTTTTGAGAATTTTACTAGCATAATTGGACGTTTTACAACATTTGCACTATCGAATATATATTTTTAATTTGAAATTATAATCCAACTCTATCTGTAGTCTTCATCGAAATTCAATCGTATGTCATAAATTCCATTTAGATATATTGCTTTTGTATTCCTAATGAGTGCCACATAAATATTTTCGTGAAATAATGAACTTTTTTCCATGGTTAATTAAATTCCAAAAAAAAGACATGTGGCCTGATCCGTTGGTAAAGAAAAAATTGTTTGGTTTTGTCAGTGTTGAAAATAAAATATGTTCGTTCTCTTTGAATTCTGCACAATGGTCTCTTCGAATCAAGTTCTTCGGAATCATAAAACTGAATTTGATTGTGTCTGATACGTTTGTTTCGCATAGTAAATGTTTCGATCAAAAGTCACGATTCGACATTCAATCCGAAAAAGAATGACGAAACTTGCGTACATCTTCGATAGCTATTTAATCAACGACAACAGCGCGCAACGAAATGTAAGGATTTGTTTCGTTTCTTTTTATTATTTTTACAATCAATTAAAATGGCATTCAAAGATAATAAAATAAAATTAAAAGAAATATGCGTCACATGTGGACTAAAACTGTCTGAGTAATCGTTTGAGAAGCGACAGCTAGAAACCATTCAAGGGCCGAAAAGTGATGTGATTTCCTGATTTAATGATTTGTTTGATGAATTACAATGCTATAAAGTCAAAACTTCTTTTATTTTTTTTATGTGTTTCGATCTATCGGGCTGATGTTGATATGTGGTTGATGCTGCTGCCGTTGAGAGCTTCAGAGCGTTACGCTCTCGTTCACAGGTACCAAGACGCGGCACACAAAATAGTTAACAACGATTATGACACATACTCAAACATTTATTTTCCCATTGCCCTGTGTATTCATTCGGTTTTGGAGCGTTTTATGATTCTTGGTTTCGAACATCAATCAATAAAAAGGGTTTCACTGCCAATGTGTACAACTTGCTTATTGTTGTTATATATTTTTTCGGTTTTGTCTTGGCTTTTTGTTTTGATATGCAATAAATCCATCATATTGAGTCCACGATTAACGCAATGAATCTTAATGCTATCCATCTTCTCTTCTCGATTCGATGCGTGGCAATAAATCGTTTGAATTTTGTGAATACGATACGTGCATGCTCATGTGAACTTGTTATTATGGCTTTTGTTTTTTTGTTTTGACTACCACAATAAAATCGAATGGCATGAAGAAGAATAAATCATCGTCCCGGGGATATCGCTGAAACAGAATCAATCTGAATATGATATTCATTTGTCATAAAAGTATTAAAATTTCATGACCGCCATTCTGAATTCTTCGATTGATTCACAATTTCTCTCACTCGCTTGTTCGATGTGAAACTTTAAAATTGAAACTTTGGGAGGGATTCGTTCGTTGTGGGTGGCACATTCATTTTCTGCACAAAATGAAAAACAAACGGACTCTTTTTTTCGTAATGCATTGCATATGACGATTATGTTTGAATGTGCCATTATATTTGATTGACTGTTCGTCAAATGAATATGATACAAAATAACATGTGTACTTGACAGGCATTACATCTATGCAAAATCGAGTAATTCATTACCAAAAGCAGAAAAATGCCGCTTCATTTTTTGCCATTAATAACCGGATTAATGCATAAAATCAATAAGCAAATTAAAAATCATACAATGTGTGAACCTAAACGATCATTTATTAATGCTAGCTACTTTGGGGGTCGTAGATTTTCACTCTTTTGATATACGATTTGATATGATTTACTTGATCAAATGTGATAATTCTCTTTATTATGCGTAGTTAAATCAATTACACGATTTATTAATTGCCACGTGCACTTGAAGCAATTGAATGTATAATCTAGTGTGCAAAGTTTGGGCGTTTGCATGATTCATCCTGCCCTATTACCAAACAAATAACCATGTCCATTGGATACGAATGACGGCAATCAAATCTTTGCATCAAATCTGATTTGTTATGCATTACAATTTATGTAAATGGGGACATTTCAAATGGATTATTACACGCTTTTCTATTTAGAAATATGGCTGAATGCACTTTGTTTTTTTTTTCGATTTGAATGAAAAAAATACGCATATAATAGTCTTATGAAGTGAACAATTTTTGCGCAAAATATGTGTGTACAAATAAACTACCGATGCAGTATATTTTTTATTTGCACATATGTGACTGAATATTAAAAAAGATTATTCAACGACGGAATCATTGAATTCGGTTCTGGTCGATAAACGAATGAAATGTAACCAAAGTTAAAAACTCGAAGAATCGAACTTAAAGTCGTGATGCTGAGAACGAGGAGCATTTTCTTCACGTGAATGATGACAAACAGATACAAACGACAAGCATAATGCTTGAAGACCCTCCTTTAACACCGATGGCCTTTTGTTGTGCACCTCTGTGTGTGTATCATTTCGGGCGGTTTATTGAATTAAATATATATATGCGAGACAGTTTTGATGACGGCAACGACCAAGAGTGGTATGAGCATTATACATAGATTTGATTATAGAATGTTGCTCTCTAAAACCGACTTATTCAATGAAAAACAACGTAGTGTGTTATATTGCATCGAATATTAGGAAAAAAAGAGGGTTGAAAATATGTGTGACCATGGCCTGTGAGGAAAGTACCATAAGGGCCGCAGCGTATCAATCGTCGCATATTGAAACATATTGCAGAGAGCAGAAAAAAAACAAGATCCCCTCAATAAAATACTTTGTATTCGAAAAGTTGTGGGATGATAAAAGTCATATATTTTACATTGTTTGGGATAAAGATTGAAAAATCGTTGAATGAAAAAAAAAAAACCATAGAAAAAGGAAATTGTCTATGATATGAGATACAATAAATGTTGCGGTCAATTGGTTTGAGTTCTTTACAATTCCGGCCTTATTCAGCCTTTGACAACTCAGCATGATACCCATTACAATGAAGGTGTTTAAATTTGTATTTGATTATTATTTTACTCTTTTTGTAGTTCAATTAAGCATACCAAAAATGAAGAGAATAAAAATGGTCATTGTTACTCACCTTTACTTGAGACTCTGTCATTCCTAGGGCATATGCAAGCTTGGCTCGCTCAGGCCCCGCTAAATATTTTGTCTGTTCAAATGTTTTCTCCAATGCGAAAATTTGTTGTCCACTGAATGTTGGCCTCGTGTGCTTCTTTTTGCCATCTTTATCTGAGCTATGGTGTTGCGAAAGGCTGGCTGACACTGAAAATTATACGTAAAAAAATGTTTTTCGTAAGAAAACTCAGGATTTAAGGTTCAGGCTTATGTCAACAGACAGTTACAGTCGAGAATTTGCAGAGTTTGACAGTGATTTTTTCGACGAGCAGAACTTGCAAATGATAAACATATGTGTGGTTTCGTTGTGTATTGTTATTAAATAATAACAGAGAAGCATACAATGCAAGCATATTTCAACCTATTTATGCATAGTATTCATACATTTTTATGCTAATCGAGTGACGCGTGTATTCGAATTTACTTCATGTTCAATGTTCACCTGACATATGATAAGGCTAAAGTGTGTGTGTGTGTGTGTGTGTGTGTGTGCGCCCTGTGTATCATGCCGTTGCTGTGAAAATTCATGCAATTGAAACACACATGTGACCAATCTTGAACATCTTTAAATTCATTCAGTTTATTCACAATGTTTTAGTATTATGCCTCAATTGGCTTAAATTGAGAGAGTAAAATATGTCAACGAGAAGGATTTTCTGTATTGTATATATTGCACTGTGGATGATGCTGGATGAAACTCGCACGAATATATATAATGGGCGATTTTCCGTACGTGATACGAAAGCCTAAGTAATTGTAGCGACAAATTGGTGTGTATGGTGTATTGCTTGTTTTCCTTTCAAATCATACCAAAACCAGATTGATTTCAATATACATTTTGTCAACATCATGTTTTTAGTAAACACATATATTTACACGCATTTTGTCAACGCATGCAATTGTTTTGCTTACGATCAGCGAAAACGATTTTTCCGATTTTCGCGCCCAATCATCACTTTCGAGGCGATATAAGCAAACATTTCAACCGTTACAGACAAACGACATTTTCATAAATTTTATTTGATTTTTCGGGGCTTATTATTACACATAAGTTGAGCATTTCACCAAATGGATATAGCAGAATACGAAACACACACACACAGTGCCATTGGATACGGAATTCGTTCATGTTTTCCATAGAGACATCGATCGAGTCGACGCATCGAAATAACCGAGATACATAAATGTTTACGTAGGCTAACGAACTGCATAGCACAGTCATAGCTCGATGACGTTTACTTATTATACAGGAGAGGATAAATGAAGAAATAAATTGAAACATGGCATGCGAATGAGGATGACATGGATAAGTGAAGATGATAAAAATAATAAAATAACAAATGTGTAATGATGTTGTTGATGTTGAACATTCAAAATAAACAATTTAGCCGTCTACCTAATAGAATTTTGTTTTGTGATGATGTTCAATAAATACACAAGCACATTTTCCGATTGGTTTTCCATATCAATAACAATATTGCTAACGAATTATGCTTTCAAATGAAGATGACAAAAAATAGAAGACATCAGTGTTCACTGTTCATATCAATTCGATTTTACTGAAATCACCAAGAAAAACGAAACGGAATGAATGTTCTTTTAACTGAGTTTCTTCGTCTATGTCTGTCGTGGAGTCGTATGAATTGCAGCACATTTTTCGAATGAGATTGCCTAAAGGACCATACATGAACAAAATAAATGACTAAGAAAAACATTTATTTGAATTTCAAATGATTTTTATTTGTTCCGATTTGATACGATAACTTAGAATGGATCATACACAATTGATCCTGCAAAGTTTCGACCAAATCCGATGAACAAATCTCTGAAGCACAAAATAAATCTAAGTAAACGAAAATATACACCATTGAAATAGCAAATACATTGCCATCTGTAAATAGAGACGAAATAATTTTGCATAAATTTACTTTTCCAACTGTTGGAACTGAAGTGGACGAATGGTTTAAAGAATGGAAATGGAAATGGAAAATATTCTCCCTTTATCAAGCGCTTTTTTCTCTCGTTGCATAAGCCAACGAAATGAAACATCTTAAATGAAAATCTATGCTCAGAAGAAAATCTATGGTGTTGCGTGCTGATTATATTATTTTATCGCATTTGCCGATTTGAAAGAAAAAAAATTGAATTATTTTTATAAATCATTCAGTAGATTTGAACCATACAAAGTCCATGGACATACATTTTATTATTATTATTATATTTTCTTAGCATTTTCTAGCGTTTGAAATATGTTTATCTAAATCGTACTTTTTAGCATATTACATTTTATTTAAGGACTGCATAAAATGCGCTAAGAAATTCATTGGTTTTGGAAAACAGTTTTACGACAAAATGTGACACACATTTTTCGCTCACGAATTTATGATTTCCTAAGTTAAATTATATTTTCTAATAGACATTTTTCGCCAGGACCATTCACGCCAGTTATAAAATTTACGAGGAAATAATAAAAAGTTCATGATTTTAATCCAATCGCTGTGCCTTTACAGCGAATAAACAATCGAGAGGATGTTCAGAGTCAACAATCTGAAATTTTGAATTTCCAAGAAAGCAAATACTTTGCGGCCAAATTTGAATTTATTCAAAACGGAATGAAAAATTTAAAACCCAATAAATTTCAAACATTTTCATTGTAAAATTCATTGTTGTTAAATTGTTTCGTTTTCATTCAGTTCGTTATTAATTTAAAGCAAAGTTTAACATCAAACTAAAAACCATAAAAAACAATATTGTTCGTTTTCGGATCGCATGGATCATAATTTGAGTATGCCAAACGAGTACATTTACTATACGGAACATAAAGTATTCTATGTAGCGACGGCGTTTCACAAATATGAAATATGTGCTCATGTGAATCACAGGCCCAGACACATTAAATTGACATTATGGCACTGACGTTTGCATACATTTATCAAAAAAAACAAGAACAAAAAAACCACGCACAACAACCAAACAGTGCACATGAAGCAAAGTTTGTATAGACGATTACCGTGAGCCGGAACAAAACTAACACTGTATTTTCGTGTATGTTAATGCAGCAGGTTTATTGTTAATATGACATCACATGTCGATAATGATGCCAATGAGCTGACTAATGATCGTTGAATGATGCAATTAAACTTAGAACATTCGTTGGATGTGTTTGTGTGTTTTGCATCCAAATGTTTCACCAATGTCAAAATCCCAGCCGGCGAGAATATTGAATTCTATCGAGAAATTATAATACAGCCAAGGACAAATAACTTTTACGGTGTTATATGTTCAGTGGGACTCATCACATAATTTAAAAGCATCGTGTTTCCTCTCTATCTCTCACTCCCTCTCTTCTTTGCATTCATTTTTCCGATTATGGCGTAGAAATATCCACATTTTTTTAAACGTTTCTACTCTTTTTGATATTTTTTTATTGAGCATGAAATTTTTTTAATTCCGTTTCATATGCATCATGGGAATCGTTAGCGGCTATTCTATGTCTGTGTATCTGTGTATATGCCCGATATAAAATTGATTAAAAATGAATGAAGCATAGCCGCTGAAAAAAGCGGAAAAATGTTCGAGATAGATGTGGTTTTTGGACGTTGACATTCCACAGAATTGTTTTTTTTTGCGGATGATCAACATCAAAACAATAAAAGTACAATTTTAACATTATTGCCAACGTATATCTATGCATTTTGACCCTATTCCAAGCAACATGCATTACCTCCGGGGAGTGATTGTACTTTTTTCTGTTTATTTGTTTAGAAATTGGTAAAAATCAAATTTGGACTCAATAGAACTCAAACTAGTGACTTTTTTAAAAAAGCATTCTGTACAACAACAAAACGTTTAGGCATGAAAATTATTACGGCCGGGCCGACCATTTAACACGGTGGTGAAATGGTGTCATTTATAATATTACTGAGTGTTATAATGCCATTTAATCAAAATTGAAAAGAAAGTGAAATTTCGTTCTCATGAAATTCGTTTGGTGTTTTATTTCCCACATAGCTGTTTCAAATTCTGCGGTTTTATTCGGATCGTCGCTCTTCAATCGTCATCGTATAATTTGGCGTCATTGTGTTTAAGGTCGTTTTAATGTTGAACAAAAATCAACATTGTGTACATGTACAGTGAATTTCGTGCAATGAGCGTCGAGCTACCAAATGTTACATTTATTTGAAACAATAAAAATGGTTGTGGTTCATATTGTGATTTAAATCACCAGCGTTAAATTGCACGTAGAAAATATTCAAAAAATATGGAGTTAACCGCTTGCAATTCGCCATATTAAAATGCGAGAAAATTAATTACATGGAAACCCCTTTTCGGTATCAAATGATTCAATTGCAAATCGTGTAACAACTTGAGCTCTGAATTTAAATGCTACTAAAAATGGACACGTTATGCTGAACGTTCGACAAAACATATTTTGCGTCACATCGAAAACCTCATAAATAGAATGAGAACAACAACATTTTCTTATCAGTAGATAAGTTTGCATAATTATGTTGGAATCCATGCCACGTACGCGTTCATTCTCATCGAATGGTAGTCAATGGCCGGATAGACACGGTACACGCATTCAAATAAACGTTGTTTCCACGATTTGTTGATGGTAATTGTTAAGGAACCGTAGAATATAAAGTCAAAACCGAAATGAACGTACGCACTTAAGGGAATTGCTGTTTATTATTATCATCATCTTTAATTGCTGCGGTTCAGCAATTGGATCGAACGTGTGGTACCGAATATAATTCAAATATTTAACGCAGTTCCACCACACTTATTTATTTGTGTTTGGGTGTGTGTGTGCGTGTGCAGCAGCATGGCGACAACCCTTTTCTCGGTTGCGCCTTTCATTAGTAAAACGAATTGGGTTTCAACACATCTTTAAACATAAAGGGAAACAACGATGACGATGTTTCTTATATTTCGGACCATTTTTTTTCTACCTCCTGCTTCCAATCCATTCGTTTAAACGTATCGAAATCTTTACATAAAATGATTCATATGGGCGTTTGAATCACTTCAGTTGTAATCAAATTAGGGAAGAACCGAAACGAAGCGAAACATAGATTATATTATGAAAGTGAGTTTTATCATGATTTAAATAATGTAATGTCTATTTACGTGCTTTTCTCTTAATATACCCATTCGCATTGAAAGCCAATTTTCAAATGTCCAATTTGTGTAAATAAACGCAAGCAGCAGAGGTGATATATTTTTTTGTTTTCAATTTCTTATCAAACATTCATTCATTTCATAACAAAATGGTTCAGAATTCAACTGTTTTGAGATGGAACGAGATCGATAAATAATGACATGTATTCAATTAGTTGAAATGTGCTGTGTTCAATTTAGAAGGACCGAATTGGTTAACATTTTCGGAGTGCTGGCGCTTTGTAATGTCCGTTGAAAAGGAATTTGGCGGGAGACAAAATCTCACCTCAATTAAGTGCCTTCTATTAAAAAAGGGTTCGTGTAAATTTAATATTCAAAATGGCAAGGAATTGGTTTTGAAACGACTTACGTAGTCGAAGGAGCCAAGTCTTAAAGTGGTTTAAATTTTCTTGAAAACTATTTACTATTTGGATTATGGCCTTAGATGGTGTTTTGTTTGATAGAAAATTGTATTTTACCATTTATATTCAATTAGAAACCTCTTTAAACGGATTAAGTCATGAAAATGGTTTGATGGAAAATATAATACGAATACAAATAGTCCGAATGCTGAACTGGTATAGTATGTGTTGATTAAAGACCGGGCTCAATTTATTTGGCGCGGCAACTACAAATTAATATCAAATAAAATAATTTTATTGCCAATTTAATTTGTGTGGCACGAACTAATGTGTTCTAACACAAAAAAGACTGCGTGTGTGTGTTTGTGTTTGTGTGTCTATTCGACTTAATATTCATTCGAATCTCATAAATTTGCAAAGAAAACACCATCGATGCATACAGGATAAATGATGCGATCATTTCGAATTGTTGCTTCTGTAATAAAAATGGGCAATTTCTTTTAGATGCGCCAATACACTTGATATCATCATGTCCTAGTTGAACATTGAGTAGCCATGCTAAATTGATCTGAATGCTCTTCTGAAGAAGTTTCCAACAAAATGAACATTGTTTTAACGACCACTTTTTATTACCTCATAATGCTTCGCTTAATTGGCATCAACAATTCTTTAATGACATGTTTATTTATTTGCAATATATGGCCACATCAGTTGCATCTGCGTATCTTACAACCTAACATGCGGTTCCATCTATTTTTACAAGAATACAATTTTATTTGATTTATATTCAGCCATAACTAACTGTCAAACGCAAGAAAACAAAACAAAACAAAAAAAACATATTCAATAGATCTTCTTCCCCAAATTTAATCCTGAAGAGAAAGCACAACCGATTAAAATACATTACATATTGGCCAACAAACACCGCTTTCATTGTAACACACACACAACATTGTTACGATTTTCGCTGTAAACGCAAATGTGTGAATAAATTATGATGCCTTTTTTTGTGAAATCAAGTACAAGATTTACAATCTGAAAAATGTTGTATGATGAGCGATTGGAATAATTTCTATGTTGTAAAACAATTGCACGCGACTTTGCATTTTGTGTACACATTGTTACTTGATGATATGATAAAAATGGCAGTATTTCGTATTCCGTTTGCGACACGAAGTGTATTTTTTATGTATATATTTATTTATCAAATGCGGCTGCTGCTGTTGTTGTTGCTGCCGTCTTTTCCTCTTTATGATGTGAAAGTTTCGTGTGCTTGCCAAAGCGAAGCAACGAAAAAAAAAATATATCAATGGGCTTTTATGCTCATCAACTATGTACGAGTATATAATAAAAATGTATTGCTTTTTGTATATATTTGAGAGGAAGCCATATAAAGAGTCGAGAGAATATTATCCTCCAATATATTACAATCATTGGGTGTTTTAGCATCTTTGCTTGTGTCGCGGCGACCAAAGAGAAAGAGAAAATCTTCCGTATTCAACGCCTTTCCTCCGACGCTTTATGCGCCGTCAACACTGTTGTGATGGAGACACCATATTATTTGCCAAAAAGATGAGCATACGGAAACACGCAACTCGTGCGTGAAAATGTTGATTTCCGTCCCGAATAAATAAAATACCAATTGAAAAAGGAAGAGAAAAAAAAACTTTGCCCGTTATTATGGTGGATATTTTTTTCGTTCGCTCTTTATTTTCACACACGGACGATAGAGAGAAGAACAAAAAAAAAACTTAACTGTTTGATGATGTTATATTCGCTTACATTTGGTGACTTGGTTTCTATATAAGCCAGCTTTGTTGTATATAAACAGCCATTATTATCATGTAAACGCAATAATATGTCGCCGTGTGTTTTAACACAGCACAACACACGAATGAATGCTTAAATACACACGAAACATTGACACAGATAGAAAGAATGCACACACTGTAACCGATGCGAGATGGAATAGATAAAAATTTCGCATGAACATGTTTGTATACACATATAATAAATGTTAAGGTTTTATTTACAAATTTATTCGAGCACATTTTTCCACATTGAACGCTTCATTTCCCCTTTTCTATTTGCCGATTGCCAAAAGTTTTTGTCAAAAAAAAAGAGACAGGGAACAAAATAACAAAACCATTTTTAGATTGATCTTTGATCAACGATCATGGTTTTCCGTTTAATGCGATTGCTTATCAGACAAATTTGAAATTGAAATTATATTTCGGTCAGGGATATTGGTGGAAAATCAGAAAATGCTTTGTATACTTTTACTTGCCGTCGGTAAACACAAATTTTCATATCAATTATGGCACTCTTTTCACTTTGGTTTTTATTCCTGATTTTAATCCGCTCGTTTTTTGTTGATTTTTACTATCGCAATATGATAAAATAATTTCCAATAACACGATATAATTGGATTCTAAACAAATAAGTGTATCTCACATTAATAAATGAATTATTTGTTTATCATTCAGTTGCTATGAATAAAGCAATTGAATAGCGTGTATGCCGCGACATTATTCACCGTTAATATTATTAGAATACATTAATATGCAATACTGTAATTAAATGAGTGAAACGTGAGGCAATATAAATTATGTTATATATTTTAATTGGCTGTGTTGCGGTTAGAATAGACGCCTTTCAAACGAGTTGCATACAATGCTAATAAATGGATTTATTGTCAAGAGACGCGCATAGCCACACCGCGATGGTTGTTTGATTTAAATGTGTTGCCCTATTCATATCGTTAATTAATTAATGTATTTATAGATAATTGAAATGGTGGTATTAGAAATGAATCCAAATGAAAATGAAAATTACAAAATCAAACAATTCGATTTGATTCGAAATTGGTACTTACTGGAATTAGTTAAACGATCACGCCACGCCATGGGATTTGTCACGAGACCCTGCAAACCTGGCCAGTATAAATGCGGCCGATCAACTAGCGAACCTGAGTGCCCTTTCAATTGTCCATTGTGACTTTGTGACAAATATTGTGCCATATTTGCAGCCGCTGCGGCTATTGAAAAACGTGGCATCGCTCCTTTATTTAAATCAACAAACGAATAAAATAAACAATTAAACAACATCATCTTCCATTGATTGATCTATATAAACCGTATCACCAATTTGGCCAAACAAGAAAAGAAAAACTGATATAAAAACAAAATGAAAATGCTAAACGGCTTACCGCTAGTTAGGGCATTTAATCCGGCTGTTGTAACTGGTGGTGGTCGAGATAGAATTGTGTCTATTCCATGTGGATTTGAGCCGTGTGATGTGAGCTGAGATTGAGTTTGCTGCATACTGTTTGCATTGGATGTATTTACAGCTGAATTGGCGTTAGCCGATTTCATTTCGGTCATGGAATGTAGAGCGGCCAATGGTGGGCCCAAAAAACTTAATGGAAGCTTGTGATGATCCAACATATTGTTTGATTTTTTCGTTGCCGTCGCTGTGACAGAGGATAAATTTTCCGGACTTCGTGAGCCCACACTGCCCGGATGGGTTGGACTGTAATAATCGCCTTCGTCACTTTTTTGACTCGTTGGATATGATCGTGTGCTGTCACACCGTTGGGTTTCTGGACTTTCGGATGATGCCCGATCAAAATTAATGCGCCGATTAATATTTGCTAACGAACTATTACTGTTGTGATTATTATTTAAGTTGGCGTCGTTATCCTTATGACTTAAATGATGTAACCGTTCATTTGACGAAATATAGTCACTGTTATTTTGGTGGCTTTCGATAGCTGCTTTAATTGCTGACGCAGTTGTTGTATTATTATTATGGTAATAATCACTACTCAAATAGGCATCACGTGTCGGCGAGCTAATACGTGCCGATGAATACTTATTGGTCGGACTATTGCTATTTGGGCTGTAATTTTGTTGTAATGCACTCAATGAATTTGCACTGTGATTTTGATTATTATTGTTGTTGAGTGTGTGGATGGATGTTGGCGATGGATGCTCTATGAACGGTTCAGGACTGTGATCTCGATAATTTTCAATGTGTGCTGCACCAAATGCAAACCCATGAGCACCGAGAAAACCGGGCGAACGAAATGCAGCCAGATTAAGAGCGTGATGTGCAGCAGCCGACGTTAACGGTGTAAAACCGTTAGCGTTATTTCCAAACGGTGACGTTATTAGCTTCGGGCTATCTGAGCCCGACACAGGTAAAAAGCCAGGACTACCCAGATTGATGATCGTTTAAAGATTTCTTTAATGAAAATGTCCAACGCACCAATTTTGATTTGAAACACTTTCACATTTAATTCACACAGAAAAAAATTACAACAATAAGAAAATGAATATCTTTCAGTTTATCTTGGCTATTTTTTTGATCTTATCACTTTGTCTTTATTTTCCAGTTTTTTTCTCACCAAGTTAACAGTTCAAGTTCAAAATGCCTATTTCCATGAAAAATCGTTCGAAAAATATTAAAATCTCACTTGCACCAAAATCATAGTTTAGTTGAACTTTAACCAATTAAATGTTAGTTTTCATTTTTTTTTTCTCGTTTAATTTTCTTTTTAATTTTCAAATAATTTTATTTGAATTCACGAATTCGATTGAACAGAAAAAATATTCGCAGAACAAACTGTAAATGTGAAACGAAATGTGACACTGAACAATCTAATTACGTTAAATAAAGAGATATCCTCAAATATTCACACGATTAAATATAATCACTGACCGTACATGCAGGCCTATCGCGAAAGAATGATTTTCAAATTCGATTTACAAACTGATTTGACTTGCGAGTGAGCAAACACGTTACCAACGGGCTCATTTGAACTTTTATTCGTACAAAATGTACATTCATACCGTGTTAGTATATTGCAACAAATACACGCATACATAGACGAGCCACACACCATGACAACTACTAAACACGCACACATGAACACACAGCAGCAGCAGCAGCGTTTATGTGTATATTGCACGGACGAAGTAAGCCAGCAGCAAAACACATAAAGAGACGTGAGCACTAGTGGTAACCACGGCAAAAAGAATGCATACCCGAATGAACTCAGAACGATAATACCGAAATAATCATAGCATGGAGTTCAAAGCAAAAGTGCAATCGAAATCAAAAGATGATGTTGGCTGGTTCATTCCATCCTTGTCCGAGAAGTAAAAGAGAAAGAGTGACAGAATGAGAAAAACAAAAAAAGAAAGGCACAGAAATAAAGGGAATAAAAACTAGGTTTTTATTCGAAAACGAAAACAACCACACATTGACTTGAATTGGTACATACTCAAACTCTAGTATATATACAATATGCACGTATAAAAACAGATCAAGCATAAGTGCGACAGAACAACGAAAAAACGACTCATAGCAAATCAATTGCACATATACACCATACACACATGCCTAAATACATACAGAAGCGTGAAACGGTGGTTGCTTTTCGAATAAGTTTATTATTGCTTTGGTATTTTTGCTTTGCAAGAGGTGCTTTGCGAGCGAGACGGAAAAAGAGTTTCGAAGACTGTATCGATGTTGAGCGTTGATACTCAAAACCATATAAAAAAAACACACACACACACCATACATTTGCTTCAGAGAATAGCGGAAACGATGGCTACTATGGATTTGAATTAAACATCGTTTTAAATTATATTCGACGCGTGCAAACATGTACTCGATATGAAAAAAAGGACTTCCATTGGATTACGGACGGAAGAAGAAAAAAACTGAAGTGTATAGCTTCAACATAAACGATTCGTCAACGCCCATTTCTTATTGCAATTGAATCACCATCATTGTTGACAACAAGATATACGCACACAATTTTCAGTCGGAAAGTGGGGCGGAGTTAAATGTGGATTTGTGCGCGCCGCGCGTATTTGTATATGTGCATGTGTACACATCTGAATGATGTTATTTTTTGTATATATATACGATATGGTTGCGTGCAATGGTATTTGCCAGCGATGTACGAGCGATGCCTTTTTTTCGTTGGTTCAAGCGGCTAAAACGGAGTTCATTATTCCGTCTCATTTCTTTTTCGGTTAATAAAATTATTTTCTACTTTTGTTAATAATCTTCGCTTACAAAACAATTTTATTGCAGCGGTGGCTGTGTGAAAACCAATACGAAATACATATTTATAGCTCGAAGCTTTACATTGTTATGTATATGATGGGATTGGATGAGACTCCATTTTTGCACAAGTAGTCAATGGCTGAGGCAGTTTTTCGACAGCAAAAAGTTCAACGAAATTCGTACAATTTATTAATTGTAGAAAAAAATTAGACAACAATAAAAGAATTCCCATCTCAACGTCGCACTAATCACATAATAAAAATACGCAAACCAATCAAAGGAATACTCCATCAATAATATTAAGTACAATTAGACTTTCCGGAGGAGCTTAATGCCTTTTTTTTCGTCCATCGGCTGTCAAAATTACTTCATCAAGCCAGCAATTTCATATTTTTTTCGATGAAGGAAGACTCTTTAGTGTCCATTTTTTTGTGCCTGCTGTTTTCATTCATTTTCATCCACATGCTGGCACAATTGTTGCTATTACGTCAATGGCCACAGCATAACACATATCAAAGGTCCCTTGCTCTTCATGCTTTGATTCGTGTCATATTACTTTTCAGTTGATTTTAAGGAGATTAGATCCCAAACAAGCCTTTTACAATCTAGTCATGTAATAGACATTATCACAAAAATATTATGATATAAGTTTTTCCAGGATTTTTTTAGCTTTTCTGTTGGGACACAAAATGGAAAATATTCAATTAATTTATTTCGAGAAAAAAAAATTAATTTGTAAAATATACATACACTGTGCGTCACTATTTTTGCGCAGAATTTCTGTTAGGGTGTTTCATTCTCGTTTAATATTGAATAATGTGCCACGCACTGAAAGAATCTCAACAACAAGGTTGGTAATCTCACAAGTTTTCAAATTTTTAAAAAAAAAAAAAAAAAAAAAGAAATTTGAATCATTTCTGGTCGGAAAGTCGGTGAAACATAATTTCGGCACACCGTGTAGAATAATGAAGAGTTCTCCCATCATGTTAAAAATAGACCAAGTAATTATACATAAATACATAAAAAGCGAAAAATGTAAACAGTGGCAAAATTAAATGTTGAACATTTGATTAAAAATGTGCTATGCTTGGTTCAACCGAGCGCATTTCAAGGATGAAAGGGAACACAGTCTGTTTAATTATGTTTTAATCGAAAAGAAGTGCCAGCATGAAGTTCAATTTAATGTTGATGAATTTATTTCGGAATGAATTTTTAATGCAATGAATGTATTCATTCTCCTTTCGTCGAGATAAAAATAACTCGTGGTATTTAATTCGATTCGTTGTCTGAATCATGGTGAAAAGTAATTAGTCGAAGGCTTTGCGCAGATGAATTTGGCCCGAACAAAAGGCGAATCGTTACAATTTTTTGGTGATATTTATAATGGATAAAATCCAACAAAGTCGCATATAATGACACCCGCAAAAGAAACAAACACACTGTCAACTAAAAATTTAAGTAGCCAGATTAACTTCAAAAGTCAATGGATAGAAGAAGCACTGCAGATTTAATATACACAAATGTAAACTCAATCACAATAAATACATGACTATAATAGTGGTGTCAAGTCGTTGATGCTATTGGAAAACGGTCAACCGGATGTCCTGAATAGACTGACACATCTATTGTTCATGTACATTCAGGTAAAGATTTTCGACATTATTTCCGAAATGAATTTCAATAGAGTCTTAGTGCAATACATACGTGCTTCATAAAAAAAAGAACATTCCATTCGTGATGATGAGTATGCTGTTTCTTTCTAATTTCATTGATTTCTATTCGAAACGATTCGTTTTTCTCAATCAATTTGTTCGAGATTTACAGATTTTCTCTTCGACCATGTCATTCGCTTATCGTCACAAAGTCAATTGTTGCTGTCTGAAAGAAATGCCATTGTACCGATGGTGTTTCTCTCTCTGTGTCTCTTTTCATGCGTGTGACTCTTTTCAGCTTTGCCATTGTTACCGGTGAATAACATCAAAGCACCAAAAGAATAAATCGCCTGCAAAAGCATTTTAAAAAATTCTATGGGGTGTTCATTATATACACATATGCACAAATTAATAATGGAAATAACGATCCTATTAAAGTATTTATGACATTTATATGCGATGATGAAATGGAAAATAAAATTAGAAAAAAAAACAACAACAATAACAAGAGACGAGCAAGGAGCAAAGCAGTTCGCTATAGTAATTTGTTGTTTGTCATTTAAATCAGACTAGTTAGGGTAAGCTATTAAATCGTTTACGTGAGCATGTGTTCGTAAAACTGAATATGGTATTCACAATGACAGTGTCACATGTAGGTATAACACGTCGACTTCGATGCACAAGCATGTTGAATTTTCAGCCATCAAATATTTACACGTTACAGTTTTTTTTCCTCTCTCTTCAGATCGTACGCAGTATGTGCTCTCCTGCTTTAACGCAATTTTCAGACCGAATGACTATTGTGTCATTGCCATTTGTTTCGGACTCTCTGTTTGTGCTCATTGACGATGATGACGAAGACTTCGAATCGATAACCATAATTGATTGGGCCAAAACGTATTTATAAACCAATAAATCTGGCAAAACGATTAAAATTTGTCTATTCGTGTTTTGTCTATTTATTTTATTTGCTCACACATTGCCTGTGTACGTACGCACACACTACGCCAAACGTATTTATGATGTCCCTGCTGTGTATGATACTTCAATATTTCACATGGATGCACATTTCCGAATACGGGATAAAAAAAAATAATAATACATGCGACATTCGTTATTCTCCTCTCTTTAGCTGCGTTTTTTTATTGGGTTCAATTTTGAGTCTAAGCTTCTTATTGATGCCTTTTTGTCTGTTTAATTGTTTGTTTAATTCATCTTTTGTGCTCGTTGTACAAATAGACAAAAGCATAAAGGTGCAAATAACATTGGTTTTTGTTTTACATTTCGTTTCCCTCATTTTTCGAGATTTACACACAAACAAATTGCAAATAATGTTTATCGAAAAGCTGTACGCTTAAGTTAAATGAGTGTTAAAATTGGCAGTGTTCATTGCATTCATTGCAAATATGCTTTACCATTTTAATATCGGTTCGAACGAAGTTTGTGAGCAAATTTTCTGCATTCGGCATGTTACATTGCCGAGCAATAAA